TTGTGGCCAGGATTTTGTCCTTTTGGTGGGCGTCCAGAGAAAGAGAGGAGTAACCCACGGTGAAACTTGGACATGCAGATTGTCGTCCTTTGGCACCTTCACTTTTTGTGAAATTGGAGTACTATTTCTTGACAGTGTTGTTTTAGTTTCTGCTATACAACGGTGTGAATCAGCTGTCTGTGTGTATGTATCCCCTCTCTCTTGGGTTTCCCTCCCCCAGCCCCACCCCCGCCCCATCCCTCTGGAGCACCCAGCAGTTTTCCCTGTGCTATACAGCAGCTTCTCCTTAGGCACCTTCATTTTTAACTGAACATAGTCAGGTTGCCTTTTTAGCACAGACTGTGCTTTACCACATTTTTACACTTGAGATACTCTGTTGCTGAAATGCCACTTTATTAAAACTTGCCCAAATTGTGGAACCATATAAAGTACCATGATGCTCTTCAGGGTTTCAGTTCAGTTCAGTTGCTCAGTCATGTCTGACTCTTTGCAACCCCATGAATCGCAGCACGCCAGGCCTCCCTGTCCATCACCAACTCCTGGAGTTTACTCAAACTCATGCCCATCGAGTCAGTGATGCCATCCAGCCATCTCATCCTCTGTCATCCCCTTCTCCTCCTGCCCCCAATCCCTCCCAGCATCAGGGTCTTTTCCAATGAGTCAACTCTTCACATGAGATGGCCAAAGTATTGGAGTTTCTGCTTCAGCATCAGTCCTTCCAATGAACACCCAGGACTGATCTCCTTTAGGATGGACTGGTTGGATCTCCTTGCAGTCCAAGGGACTCTCAAGAGTCTTCTCCAACACCATAGTCAAAAGCATCGGGGTTTAGGCAATCCCAAACTCACCCTGTCCAACCCAAGTCTCTCCTTGAACCCCTCCTGTGCCCGGGAAGCTTCTTTGTTCCTATGGTATCCCTTCTGGTTGTGACAGTTTTAACCATTACAGAGTGCTTTCTTATGCCGAGTCCCAAACTATTTTTCTGTTAATATAATTTCCACTCATTGCTCCCAGTTTTTTCTTTGGAAGATAACTTTTACTTGCAAACTAAGGAGTAGAAAAACAAAGTTCTGTTCTTGCTTTCACATCTGATTCTGCTTTTTGTTTATAAACCCAGGAAACCTTTGAAAACGTATGCAAGAAGAATGATTAGGGTTGGCATTAAATGCTTAAGTTTCTAAATTGTCTTAGAAGTCTCATCAAATTAAATCAGATCTGCAGTGTTAAATGACAGCAAAAGGAGCTTAGATCAGTCAAAGGGAGCTGGAATGGGATTTTATTTTTCACTCCCAAGGTGGCTGTCAGCTAATATTGTTCCTGAGGTGAACTTAGGTCACTGTTGTAAGTTTACATTCAGGATTCCCAAGCCAAAAAATTTCCTTGATAGAAACCCTTTCCCTTTTGTTAAATACAAGATAAACAGGCATCCCACTGAGATGGACCTCCTCCCTCCCCAGCCTGCCTGCAGTGTAGGAGTTGCTGGGACAGAATTCACTCCAACAGCTCAGGTACAAGTTGCTGAGAAAGGATGGATTTCTTAGAATGATAATTGATGGAATCAAAACTTTGCTGGGGAGGGGTCCAGAAAAATAGCCTACCCCAAGGAAAGAGAGGAGAGGATAGTAAGGAAAGGAGAGGAGGAGAAAAGAACAGAACAGAAGGATTATATTTATAAGGATTTCCCCATGAATTTATGGAGATCAAACCAGTCAGTCCTAAAGGAAATCAACCCTGAATATTCATTGGAAGGACTCATGCTGAAGCTGAAGCTCTGATACTTTGGCCACCTGATGTGAAGAGCCAACTCATTGGAAAAGACCCCAATGTTGGGAAAGATTGAGGGCAGGAGGAGATGGGGGTGACAGAGGATGAGATGGTTGGATGGCTTCATCAGCTCAGTGGACTTGAGTTTGAACAAACTCTGCAAGATAGTGAAGGACAAGGAAGCCTGGTATGCTGTCATTCATGGAGTTGCAAAGAGTCGGACATGATTGAGCAACTGAACAAGAACTAGCAAATTGAATTTATTTCAATAGAATGTGGGACAGATAATATTATATATACTTCTATATGTGTGTAGAAATATATACCTCTGTGTGTGTGTGTGTGTGTGTGTTTGTGTGTGTGTATTAGCTGCGATGGTGGAGGTAGTGGGGTGGAGGTGCTATATTTATGATTTAAGTGGTTGGGTTCTCCATGTGACAGTATTTTCCTAAAACAGATTCAATAGTTTTGCTTGTATATTTAATAGTTTCTTATAAAGACATTCTAGATGTTAAGTCACTGTAGAGATCACACATTTTTAAACCTCATGTTCCACATGTTCAGATGGCCAGCAGCATTGTGATGGAGCAACATCCCTTTTCTTCAGCCCCACTAGATTCAGAGTAGAGGCATTCTCACTCCATGAGGAATCACTGTGTATGTCAATTGTTCTGCTTACCTTGACCTTCATGTCAGGTGAGGCTTTTATTGCCATTTAAGCAAAGATGCTGAGGATAAACCACTTTATCTTCAAGGAGCTTTGGAGGAACCATAAGGCAAAGTATTTTGCCCTCAATGTAAATGCACCTCTCCGACAATTTATTGGCAGATGTATCTGGGTGACAATAGATTTCTAAATTGAGTATTCTGCCTGAAGAATGGCCTCTGATGTGCATTAAGACCTGTATTGTAATAAACACACCTCTCAATTTGTGGGGCTCTAGTTTCCTGATTATATTATGCATCAATCTTTAGGACAGTTGTCAGACTGTAGTTGCTAGCTGAGCAGTCAGAGTAAATGGATATTTCTTGGCACAAACCTTAGTAGTTAAGTCAAGGAGAATCTTTTAAGGCATTTGAGAGGGCTGTATCAGGTGCTTTTTAAAGATTAGCCTTAAAAAGATTTTGGTCTTTTTCTCTAAGTGCCACATCACTTAAGACATTTACTCCTCCTAGCTTTAGTTGTTGTTTTGTTGTGTGTAAGAAATACTAGAAATGCATAGGCTTCTGATAGATGCAGACACATTGTCCTAGGGACTCCTTACACTATTAGTTCCCTCTTCCCTTCTTTCCTCCTTCCTTCTTTCCACAAACATTTATGAGTGCCTACGAAGTGCCAATTCCTGTGCAAGCTGATGGTATCCAGTGACAAGCAAAGGTTTATAACCCTTCCCTCTTTGAGCTTACAAAACAGTACAACATCAGCTGGACTCGCTGGCCTCTCTCCCTCTGTCTCTCTCTGTCAGAGGTCAAAACTTGGCTTCAAGCTCTGGACTTTGTAGCCATAAAATACTGACTTGTAACTGGACTTTCCTGAATTATCTCATACATCTGTTTGTTAGTGTTGTGATGGGTTGATGTGCTTCACCTTCAAGAATCACACTTGTGTTTTTGTCACGACAAGTACTGCTTTTAAAAATGTGGTTAGACTGACTGTAGGACATCCCGTGTTTAGTCCTGAATGCCTAGTCTTCAATGGAATCAGCAGTGTTTGATTAAAGGCAACAAAATTACTTTTAAATCCCAGGATACACTTAACCTTTGAAATATGTTCTATTTTTGACTACCAGGGTGTTTTTAATGATTTTGTTTTATCTCCATGGTTGGGCATATCTCTGTTTCATTTCTTAAAAGCGGGTTGCCACAGAATGTACAATATACTTTATTTATCACGTGCATGTGTGCTAAGTTGCTTTAGTTGAGTCTGACTCTTTGTGACCCTCTGGACTGTAGCTCACCAGGCTCCTCTGTCCATGGGATTCTCCAGGCAAGAACACTGGAGTGGGTTGCCATTTCCTTTTTCAGCACAGCCTACCTCATATGGGGCTTCCTATGTGGCACTAGTGGTAAGGAATCCACCTGCCAGTGTGGGAGACATAAGAGATGCGGGTTCAGTCTCTGGGTAAAGAAGATCCTCTGGGGAAGAGCATGGCAACCCAGTCCAGTGTTCTTGCCTGACGAATCCCATGGACAGAGGAGCCTTGCGAGTTGTGGTCCATAGGTACGCAGAGTTGGAAACAGCTGAAGCAACTTAGCACGCACACACACACCTCATACAATCCTCTGGTACTTCATGTAGATCAGCGAGACCCTTATATCAATGTTTTTATTTTCTCCTCACATCCTGTTCGCTATTGTTGTCATACATTTCATTTCCACATATGTTAACAAACCCCATAATATATGGTTATTATTTTTGGCTTAAACAGTTAATTATCTTTTAAAGGGATTAAAAATGAGAAAGTTGTGTTTGTTTTTTTTAAAATAAGATGTCTTATATGTTTCCCACAAGCTTATTGTTTCAGATGTTCTTCTTTCCTTTCTGTAGATCCAAGGGAAAGATTGAAGGCAGGAGGAGAAGGGGACCACAGAGGATGAGATGGTTGGAGGGCATCACCATCTCGATGGACGGATGGCATCACCATCTCGATGGACATGAGTTTAAGTAAGCTCCAGGAGCTGGTGATGGACAGGGAGGCCTGGTGTGCTGCGGTCCATGGGGTTGCAAAGAGTCAACATGGCTGAGTGACTGAACTGAACCGAAATTTCAGTCTAGTTTAATGTCCTTTGGCCTGAAAAACTTCTTTCCGGTTTTCTTAGCACAGTTTCTACTAATGGTGAATTCTCTCTGCTTTTGTTTGATAAATTCTTTATTTTGCCTTTATTTTTGATAGATGTTTTCATTGGGTATACTTCTCTCTAGAAGTCTAGATTGAAGTGTTTCTTTTCAACACGTAGAAGATGTCTTTCTACTGTCTTCTGGCTTAAACATTTTCTGACAAGAAGTCTGCTTTAATTCTTATCTTTGTTCTTTCTGTTATGTGAGTGAATGAGTGAAAGTTGCTCAGTCATGTCTGACTCTTTGTGACTCTGTGGACTTGTAGCTCACCAGGCTCCTCTGTCCATAGAATTCTCCAGGCAAGAGTACTGGAGTGGGTAGCTGTTCCCTTCTCCAGGGGATCTTCCTGACCCAGGAATTGAACCAGGGTCTCCTGCATTGTAGATGGATTCTTTACCAGCTGAGCTACAGGGAACACAGCTTCAAATGCATCACAGAAGTTGAGAAAACTTGGGGTCCAGCTGTGGTCTAGGCAGGCCCAGGCAGTCACACAGGCTCTCACTAGCAGGAACTTAGTGTCCCAGGCCGTGCTGCTGACCACAGCCATGACCTCGTCCAGGATGCCAGCGGCCACCACGTTGTAGGTGAGCACCATCTCATACACCTGGCCGGCCGTGTTCTTCCAGGTCAGGGGGACGGGGTAGCAGAGCAGGAGGGAGAGCTGCAGGAGGACCTTTCTGCTCATGTCTCTGGGGAATTGCACCAGCCCACAGAACACTGTGATGCTGGACTGCAGTTTCTGGATGTCTTTGGAAACTTGATCTCTTCCTTATGTAGTATGTAGTTATGTAGTATGTCTTTTTTTCCTCTGCTTGATTTAAAATTTTTTTCTCTTTATTACTGGTTTTCAATTATTCTGATGTGCTTTGTGTGATATTCTGCTTGGGGTTCATCATACTTACTGTTTCTGTTAGTTTATAGTTGTTCATCACATTAGAAAATTTGGGTCATTGTTTCATTTTCTCTCCTCAGATATTTTTGTCATTTTGCTCCTTTCTCCCATTTCCTTCTGGTATTTCAATTCCATGTATTTAGACTATTTGACATTGTTCCATAGAACACTGAGTCCTGTTTGGTTTTTTGTTGTTTGTTTTTCAGTCTTCTTTTTCCTGTATACTTCATTTTATTTAGCTTTTATAGTTGTCTTCAAGTTGACCAATCTTTCTTCTGCAATGTCTTATCTGTTGTTAATTCTTTCCAGTGTATTTACTTCATTTATACATTGTTGCTATACTTCTTTTTAATTTTTGGAAGTTCTAATTGGGTATTTCTTTCCTTATTATGTTCATCTTTTTCTTTATCTCCTTCAGCATACTTTAAGTAGAGCTGTTTTAATTCCATTTATCTGTGCTAATCATATCTGTCACTTCTGGATCTGTTTATGTTGACTGAATTTTATTGCAGTTATGGGTCTTTTTTCCTTTCTTCTTCTACATCTAGCTAGTTTTACTCAATGTTCAACATTGTAAATTTTATGTTGCTATGCACCTTATCTTTTTGTATTCCTTTAAGGAGTGCTAGACTTTGTTTTGACACAAAGCTAAGTTAACTGGGCTAAGCTGATATGTTTAAGACCTGTATTTAAATTTAATTAGGGCAAATCCAGAACAACTCTTAATATTGGGTTAATTTAGTTCCATTTCTAAAGTGTGCCATTTCTAAGGAGAAGTTAATGAATTCTCAGCCCTGTGTGGATTCTGGGATTTGTTTATCTTATAACTACCCAATAATTGTTCTTTCCTTTGAAATTGTTTTTTGTTGGTCTCATGGGGTATTGACCTGTTCATGAACAGATCAAGGAAAGATTTAAGGGGACTCCTATGTAGATTTCTGGAACTCTTTCTCTGCATGTCTTCCTTTGTCCTGAAAATTCTAGCTGTTCTGTCTTTCCTGAACTCTGGTCAGTGTTTTCTTAACTCTACAAGAATTTTAGGCTTTGTTTGAATTTTCATTCCTTAGTCCTGGAAACTACCTATATGTTATAAGGTGGGACAATGATAAAGCTCATCTTTTTTTTCTTTTTTTATCTGTTTTCTCTGGGATCAGTTTTTCAAGTCTTTGTTCAATGTCAGAAAGCAGTTATTTAATATATTTTAATTTCTGTTGTTTATGTTTCTGTAGTAATTATTCCTTCACAAGGGGGATGTTGAATGATGTATTATTGATACATTTTAAAGCAAATGGCAGACGCAGTGAGTTGTGAAAAAAATAGAACAATTTTATTTTCTTGTGTAATAAGACAGAAATTTTAGTTAAGACCTAATTATATCTATGGGAGTTTGTGATGGACAGGGAGGCCTGGCATGCTGCGATTCATGGGGTCACAAAGAGTTGGACACGACTGAGCGACTGAACTGAACTGAATTATATCTATCATTAAAAGATAGATATAAAATATATCAATATGAGTCAGAAGGCAGATTTCTCTGTAGCATGTGACAAAAAAGAAGTAACCAAAAAATCAGTTATATGACTCTTAAGATCAACATGGTGGGTATACAGGAATGTATAGTAGAAATTGAGAAAGATTGTTTTGAGGGACCTTTCCAAAGAGAGGTTCTTTGGAACCTCTAATGTTCTTCTGTGATCCTAGCTTTACCGGAGAGAAAGAGATATTTTCCCTTCATTCAGTACTGTAAGAAGGGCTTTCATGTGACGTATTTTAGAGATTGATATGTATTTTGTAAACCTGGGGATAACTTGGAGGCCATCTGAGAAACTAATGCATGAGGGAAGGGTATAAAAACTGCTAATAGATGAGTCAAAGGATAGTTGGTTATTTTGCAATGTGTGTTTTCTTAGAATTTTCCACGGTAAAGAATGTATAAGTGCTGCCTATAGGCCAGATGTGGGATACTCATGAGAAAAAGGAAATGAGGGAGAATGTAACACAAGATGGAATTTTGACTTTATTATGAAGCTGAGCATTCTAATTGCAAATTGAGGCAGTGTGACTTAAGTATGAGAAAAGTTTACCTACTTGAGTTTCTTTTTTTAAAAAATATATTAGTATTTAGAAGAAATAGCACCAGTGAACACACATATAAGATCAGTGTGTTGTAAAATAAAGCTTCTTAACCAGTGTGCCATGCTTATTCTGCATACTTGAAAACAACTTTAATGACTGTCAATATGCCCATCCCTAAGGAAGGGGTGATTCCACTCCATTTCACAGGCACCCTCTTTTCCAGATTACCTCAAAGATTGAAAGAGATTAGGGAACTGTTTTGAACAATGAGAAGTGAAAGAAAATCTACTTGGAAAAATTTTGCTTCCTGATAAAAGGGGAATATGAGAGAGGAACTCTCACTAGCAACACCTCTTGCCTTTTCCTCCTGATTTGAACATGATTATATTCAGAGCAGGGGCAGATATCTTGCGACATGGGGCAGTGAGTCTAAGGACAGAGTTGGCATGCTGAGGCTGGCAGGAGAGCTTACTGCAAGGTTAAGTAATTGGCACAAGAGTAGCATCAGTGCTCATAAACGCAACCTTCTCATGCAGAAGAAGGTTCAGTGCAAATTCAAGATCCCATAGTCAGTGATAGTCAGTGAAGCTTATTTTCCTGTTAGATCAGTTCAAGATTTTGTTTATAGTATGTCTTCTGGAAACAGGCCTGAAGCCTTATTTTTCCTCCTTCTATCATTCTGAAAGTTACCCAGTATCCTTATGGTAAGATTGATATTACCTTCTCATTCATCAGTAAGAGTCAACTTCCTTCACTTTCTTTTAAGGACCTTGATGAATACAAAGCATATAGAGCTGCTCATATATTGGCCCTTTGGATCAAGAGCCAAGGTTTTTACTTGTGTTAAAAACAACTATGACTCAGGAGCAGAAATCTGGCTTACCTCCCTAGTTTAGCTGAACTGGCAGTGGCAGTAGTGTCAGGGAAACCATCGTCTGAGATGTCTCACGAGATAAGAAGCACTCAATGGCTCTACTGTTTACTTCTTGACTAAGTTTGAATTTACGCCACCATACATAGCTGTTGCAGTGGCCTCAGGTTCTAAATAAAGTGTCCAGTGTAGCTAAGGCTATTTCCTCTCTCTCAGTGTAGAAGGTTACATCACTGAACATCATCTTTAAATCCATAGGGTAATATGAGTCATGTGATCCTTGTGCTGTTTGCCCACACAGCAATTGTGACTTTGCCATATTTGTGAATGGTACTTTTGCTTACGAGTGTGTATGTAAACCTTCCTTCTTGTAAGGTAGTAGAAATGTCTATACTGTCCTGACATTTGTGACTGTGGAGCCCAGAGATGCTCTTTTGGCTGTTGGCCAGTGTTCAGATCATCACAGTCCTGGACAGTTGAGAAGTGGCAGGGATCAGACAGCATGTGGTGGGTGATGGGGACAAGAAGGTCAGCACCAACAGAGGCAAAGGGGACATTTACAGAAGAACCAAGACCCTCATCTGAGAAGCCCTCAGGGCTACCTGTGACTGGTACCTCCCAGAACTCTGGATCTGTTGGGGCTGCAATTTTACTCAGAGGGTAGGTTTGAAAAAAGAGTGTGATACTATAGAGAGAAGTCCCTGATGCTGTGGGTCTCACACAGCCACCTGACTGGATGAATGATATCACTGCCATACCCCATGCTTCAGCAGTGATGGCCCATTCATTTTATTGCTTACTGTTGCAAGATATGGTTTGCTTTCTTTTCTTTCAAGTGTCTGATTTTTCTGAGCAGGACATTTGGAATAAAGCCCTCAATATACATCCTGTTAGTGAGGGAGGTTTTTTTTAATGCTATTGAAATTATAGCCCTGAACAATAGGGTAACATTCATACACCCAGGCCCCATTAAATTATTATTTTTTAATGGTGCAAATGTTTTGGAAATTGACTGGTACAATATAGACATGCTAAGTATTCACTGTATTATTACTTTTGGGCAGCGGGAGGGGCTGAGGAAATGGAATAAAATGGTTCCAAAATCTCAGCAGTGCATGATGGGGGCACTCAACACATACTTACACTTTTTAAAAAAAGATCTAGAAAATATAGTGGCGAGGGAGCTTTATCTGAAAAAGTTTACTTGGGAAGTAACACAGTGACTAAATTATTATTATTGACACAAAGGTGGCTTAAGAGAAAAACTCACGCTCTCACCGCTTACAATAAGTTAGCTGGCTTGTATCCAAGGCCTCCTTCCTCCTTTGCCCACATTTCAGAGTTTGCACTCCCCTAGTTATTGACTTTAAAATAGTAAACTCTTTCTGAAAGGGCACCGTAAAGTTGGTGATATCTGGTTAAAATGGGAAGAAACTGTCAAAGATCAAAGCCCTGACTCAAACCTGCCAGGCTCTGTCTGGGCTGCCTGTCCGGACATCCATTGCTGTCTCTGAATGGAGGTGCCGTCCACTGCTCCTGAGTGGGAGTGCTCAGCCTGAGAAGTCACGGGACGCCCCTCCAGGCACCGGGGTGGGGACGGGGAGGCCAGATGGAAGGAAGTGTGCTCAGCACTCTGTCACCACTGGCTGGCTGCCATCACCCAGACACTCCGCACTCCTTGCCGAGGGGATGTCACTGTCCTGCCCGCGTGACGGGCTGGCTGTCCTCAGAGCCCTCCTGGGCAGGATGCAGCAGCACCGCACCATGTTGTCATGGTTACTCAGCCATCTCCCCAGAGTCGTGACATCAGTGTCTCCGAGGGGCAAGAGCTCTAGCTCATGCATAT